GCTCTCTTCTCTCCTCCCAAAGGCACAAATCCCATTCACGAAGGCTCCACCCTCATGACCTAATTATCTCCCAAAGGCCCCACCTCCTAACACCCTCACCCAGATCACACTGCGGGGGGTGGGGGTGGGGGTAGGGGGTGGGGAGAGGGTTAGGATTTCAGCATATGAATTGGAGTGGGAGGAGGGTACACCAACATTCAGTCGCAGTCAGTAATCTCATGCTGTATCCACAAACCACTCACTAGCTCTCCTGGTTTCTGTGCACTAGGAATTCAGTAGTGGTTTGGCTGGGCAGGTTCAACTTGCGTGACTCCTCACGAGGCTGCAGTCATCGAAGGCTTGCTCGGGCTGGAGGGAGGAGAGGCTTCTATTGCCGTCGGTTCCTCTCCAGACCTGCTCGAGGCCTCCTGGCGCGGCCACGGGCCTCCTCCGGAACAAGCGGTCCAGGAAAGCAAGGCTTCTCATGACATACCACACACACGGTCACTTACATTCTACTGGGCACAGACCAGCTCTAATTTAGTGTGGAAGGGACAACACGAAGACGTGGAAGTCAGGAGGTGAGGATCATTGGAGGCTGGCTACCACAACTGCCATGTTCAGTATGGGGGAGAATGGGAGGGAACGGGTGCCCTGACAGACCACTGCGGGGTGTGTAACTGGTGTACCTCATTTAGACGGCAGTTTGACAGTGGGTGGGTGGTAAGATTTAAAATGCAACATATCTTTGCAGGTATTCTATGTGAAGGACGTATGTGCAAGGAAGTTCAGTGCAGTATTTGCAATAACAAGAAAAAGGGGGAGGGGCTTCCCTGGTGGCGCAGTGGTTGAGAGTCTGCCTGCCGATGCAGGGGACAAGGGTTCGTGCCCCGGTCCGGGAAGATCCCACATGCCGCAGAGCGGCTGGGCCCGTGAGCCATGGCCGCTGAGCCTGCGCGTCCGGAGCCTGTGCTCTGCAATGGCAGAGGCCACAACAGTGAGAGGCCCGCGTACCGCAAAAAAAAAGAAAAAGAAAAAGGGGGAAAACCTACATATCTGTAAATTAGGGAATGCATAAATTAAGGAATACTATGGAGCAGTTAAAAAGAATGTGGCAGATCTATGACTGACCATGGAAAGATTTCTAAGGCACATTGTTAAGGATACAAGAAGAAAATACTCTTCCATTTACGTAAAAAGAAAACCAAATGTCAATACATGAATACTGATTTTGTATGTGTGCATAGATATCTCTGAATGTCAAAATCTACAGAAAAGCTCTGGAAAGACACATGTAAAAATTTTGGTGGTTACTTCTGAAAATGGTACCAGAGGAGTGGGGCGTGAAGGCAGCACTTTTAATTCATAATACTGTCTTGTTTGAATTTTTAACAAAAATAAATGATCTAAACATTTAAAACTGGAAAATAACAGACTTTGAGTGACAACCCAAAGTGCCCTCTTACAGTAAAGAATTTGGGCTTTTGTGGCTAGACTTTATTTGAGCTCTTCGGAGACCCTTTATGGCTCACTTACGGATTTCTAGCTGCTGCTACAATTTTGTTGATCTCAGATCAAGTCTTTAGAAAATTAAGGAAATAGAGCAATGTCTCAACTTCTGAGTCTGCTTTCACTTGTCGGGGTGTAATGAATGGGAAACGGCTGTTAGTCCGGTATTAAAGTATCTGACTCAGCCTCTTAGTTTCATCAGCTATAAAATGGGGACAAGATATACTACCTACTGTACAGTGCCACTACGATCCAATGAGACACCAAAGCCACTGGTACCTAGTAGACACTCAAACGGTGGCCACTATCAGTGTAAGTCCATTCTAAATCTCTGATCAGAAATAAAGCACTGGTTTGGTCAATATAAAGGATGTACCTGAATACATCCTAAGGGTAATAAAACCAATAAAACCACAATCATGTGTGGTTTACCCTTATTCTTCCCATGAGTACTTTAGGAAGGAGTACCACCTTGATAGCTGCTTATAAGAGTGTATTTGCTTACTTCACTCTGTATGACAGACCATATATACACTCCCAAATGTAAAATAGATAGCTAGTGGGAAGCAGCCGCATAGCACAGGGAGATCAGCTCGGTGCTTTGTGACCACCTAGAGGGGTGGGACAGGGAGGGTGGGACAGGGAGGGTGGGAGGGAGGGAGACGCAAAAGGGAAGAGATATGGGGATATATGTATATGTATAACTGATTCACTCTGTTATACAGCAGAAACTAAAACACCATTGTAATGCAATTATACTCCAATAAAGATGTTAAAAAAAAGGGTATTTGCTTTACCATATGATACCACTTATATGTAGAATCTAAAATATGACACAAATGAACCTATCTATGAAACAAATACAGACTCACAGACATAGAGAACAGACTGGTGGTTGCCAAGGGGAAGGGGGGGGGTGGGAGAGGGATGGATTGGGAGTTTGGGTTTAGCAGATGCAAACTATTCTATATAGTATGGATAAACAACAAGGTCGTACTGTACAGCACAGGGAACTATATTCAATAACCTGTGACAAACCATAGTGGAAAAGAATATGAAAAAGAAGGTGTGTGTGTGTGCATATATATATATACACACACACACATATATATAAATATATAAAACTGAGTCACTGTTGTTCAGCAGTAATTAACACATCGCAACTCAACTATGCTTCAATAAATTTTAAAAAGTGTATTTGCTTGAACTATAAAATCAAAACACAATTTATTGTGTTGTAGAGAAAAAAATACCAAAGCATATATATCTATAGTTATCTATTATCAAATTATAATACATTTACTCTCCAGGAAAGCTTAACTATAGTTAGAAAAATAACTGGCTCTAACATCAGTTTTAGTATCTCCTCAACTTGAACATTCCTACCAAAGTATCTGTATTCATGAAACATGTAATACAACAGCAGCCCACACACAGGACTAGAATTCTATAGGATTACAACCCTGTGTTACAACCCTGCAACTCAGTAGAAGGGAACACTGAGTGTACAAGTCAATCTTGCCTGTGTTACTAATCCACTGCATTGTTTAGACAGGCCCTTCTCCGGGCTTGAGCTTCCTCAGGGAAAAGTGAGGAGTCTGGATTAAATGATCTCTAACAACCCCCCCCCACCCCCAAATTCATGACACCGTGTTCTCTAGCCCTCCCTTAATCCGAGGCACTTCTTTTCCTTCTAAAGTGATCAAAACATCAGATGTAACTTCTTGTTCATCTTGAGAATGTGATTTCCAGCAAAGGACCTACTTTAAAAAAACAACACTGCAACAGAAAGCAGACGGTCTGTAAAGCTGCTCAGGACGCCGAGGTATAAAGCCTGTTAGACGGTGAGCAATGACAGCAGGGGCTCACCGACCAGCCGGTGGTTCTGCAGCCTGGTGCAGGTGTCCCCTGAGCGCTGTGCACTCACCCCGGGGTCACCACAGACTGAGGGCTCTTACAATAAGATCCAAGGGTCACTTGGAGGGTTGTTTCTGATCCAGTAAGTCTGAGGTGGGGACTGAGAATTTAAATTTCTAGCAGTCTCTAGGTGATACTGATGCCACTGGTTCACAGATAAAGAACACTTTTGAAACCACTGCCCTAAGCATTTGCATTTTAGATTTGTATCTTGTAAAGGTTTTAAGAGAGGCTTATTATTAATTTTTTTTTTTTTTTTCCTGGTACGCGGGCCTCTCACTGTTGCGGCCTCTCCCATTGCAGAGCACAGGCTCCGGACGCGCAGGCTCAGCGGCCATGGCTCACGGGCATAGCCGCTCCGCGGCATGTGGGATCTTCCCGGACCGGGACACGAACCCGTGTCCCCTGCATCGGCAGGCGGACTCTCAACCACTGCGCCACCAGGGAAGCCCTATTATTAATTTTTACAAAATATAAATGGTCTAGTTTTGGTATCATATATTTGGATTCTGAAATTTGTTTTGATCGAGATAAATGAAAAATCCTGCAAATTAATTACAATTTTTCAGCTGGAAAGAAAATAAAAAGATCTCCGATGACTGCTTTATAAAGGGCAGCTAATGTGACTGCCAGTTTATTCACGGGGTTTGTACTATCACAGCCCGTCTCTGCCTCAGTTACTTTTGCCTTACTGGTTTACTCACTATGCCGTACACATTACTGAGAATTGCTTTGTCTCATACCTTCTGTACTATTGCCAAACTTGTCTGTATCATAAAATATCTATTAACGTGTGTCAGGTACCCTGAGGTTGAAACTCTCAAGGAACACACTTAAGAAAAGTGTGCAACTGCTTTTCTCTTCAGTAGTTCAACTGTAAAAATACAGGACATTTGAACTTTCTGCTTAAAGCCACAGTAAAAATTAGAATGTTTCCTTTTCATAGATAAAGTACATTCAGTTTATTTCTATTGCCATCTTTAACAAGATTGCTTGTCAAGCTCCAGTTTTTCTCATGAAGAGTATTGTTCCACTTATCATCCAAATACTTACTGTGACAAAACCAGACACTTCGAGACAGGTAGGAGACAAGGCTGTCCAATTTCACATATTTGGCCACTCTACGATGCTATGATTAACTTAACAGTTTCAGAATTCCAGAAAATTTTCTAATATTCGAGACGTATTAATAAATTTAGACGCACAAGCTACCTTTAAGTGTAACTTTTTAGCAAGAAGGTGATCCTCAGCAGAGTTGGACTACAATTAAAAAGAAAACATAAGACCTTTGTTTCAGAATTCCAGTACATATTTCACAACGCATGTAAACATGCTAGTGAGTTGCACAGGGTGAGAACGTCTGAGAACGTACTTTTCTGGCCGGGAGAGCTGAGAACTCGCTCTGCAGAACGTGACAAAAAGCATTTAGGGAGTGGGGCCGTGGTCGTCTTCGTCACCACATCCCTTGCGGTGCACACAAACACTTCATAAATGTTCACTAAGTTTAACTGGAGAGGTTACATGGAACACACACACACACACACTCTTGATACAGTGTATACACACTGAATAATCCCAGTTACATAGTTTCAAAGTCAAGAATAAACATTTTATTCAATGAGGTAGATAAAAATACTCAAAAGTAAACTCAAAAGTAAAGCATTTTCCGAAGTGTCCACATATTATGGATCTATAATGTATCTCTGAATTTATGCAGTGTTAACTGTTTTCATAATTCTTGTCTATTCAAGTGGTTTTCAATGTTTAGCATACTTATGATTTTTATTTGCCAAAGTAATCACTAAAAAGATATAACGCAAAATAATTCATTTTATTTCTTAAATGCGTACGTATTTACAGTCATAAAAATTTTCATGCTCTGTAACTTATGAAATACTACACTTTCACGTTTATTAAAAATTAAAAAATCTTAGGAAATCTATTTCAATTACTTACGGAGAAATTAATGCCAGAATGATCAGAAACTGTCAAGTTACTATTATTAGCTTAAGATGTCATCATAATCACGAATAGCATTTAATCACGAATACCTTCATTTTACTTTTAAAACCATACTTACGACTTTTAGGTTAAAATCTCATAGTGGGGCAGTAAGACTTCACTCCAAATCAGAGTCACATATGGAAGGAAGCTTTTAATTCAAGGTTTCATTAGGGTCCACAGTAAAAAGATACATTTTCATGAGGGTTAACACGATGGATAGCCAACAAGGAAATATGCTAGCAGGGGGTAGAACACTGCCATCTAAGCATGCACGGAACCAACAGACTACTTTAGAACATGCTATGTCCTTGATTATTGCCAGCTTTTCTATAATGTTCAGGTTCTCAAAGGTCACTGAATTTTATAATTATCTCCAAACAATTTTCTTCAGGGTCATTTAAGCTTTGTCTAAACAGCTGGGTGTGTTGCCAAGCAACAACACCATCTCCTCTGCTTAATTCTGCTTCCAAAATAACTTCAGTGGCACCAGAAAAATCATGATAGGAGCGAAGAATTTTATCTGTTGGAGAAAAAAAAAAAATTAACACTTTGCTTTTGGTAAGAACATAAAGAGGTAGTTTCGGAATGCATTTGACATACCTGCCTTATAGGTAAAAATCAACCCTTAAAAAATAAATACAAATTATTCTTTATGGAGGAAATGTGTCCTCTGAAGAAAGAAATGATGTTTTCTCCTTCCATCTGTGTTTCACAATGAAAAACATCAGCCCTACTATTAATAATGAGGTTAAACTACAGGTTTTAACTTAAATTTTTTTTTTTTGTTTTACTGCAACAGTATGAATAACTCTAGGCTAAGGAAAACTCTTAACTACATCTCAGATAAGCACAATCACCCTTCAGAGTGCTGAACACACACTTCACCATTACTTCTCCCGTCAAATGCTTACCGCCCGCCAGCTCTACTTGTGCTGCATCAGATCTCAATTTCCACTGTACTGTTCCTGTCTCAAAGGTCTGGCTACTTGTCCTAATGGAAATGTTATCTACGTTGAGGCCAACTGACCCACATTCAAACTTCCAGGAAATGTAAGCATAAGACGATCCTTCCTTTCGGGTTAAATACACCTATAAAGTAGGTGGGAGAAAAGGAACTGTCAGAGATAATCAAACAGTGTAGAAAAACACATATAGTCAAAGTCTTATTGCCACAGGAACTATGCACAAATGGTGATTTAAAACATAACTTTCCCCACTGAAAAGATTTTTACTGCTAACAATTTTTCATTTTATTAGCAATCTTTGCGATAGTGTCTTTTGCTATGGATGTAAGGTATTATTTGAATACAGGTGCCTCAATAAGTAGAGCCCTAAGGCTGCATGCTAACCAAAATTTTGGTAAATCATATTCTCTTTTAAATTACCAACTCCAGCTATTTATTTTTTATTTATTAATTTTTTACATTTATTTATTTGTTTATTTTTGGCTGCGTTGGGTCTTTGTTGCTGCACATGGGTTTTCTGTGGCTGCGTCCAGTGGGGGCTACTCTGTTGCGGTGTGCAGGCTTCTCATTGTGGTGGCTTCTCGTTGCGGAACACGGGCTTCAGTAGTTGCAGCACGTGGGCTCAGTAGCTGTGGCTCGCAGGCTCTAAAGCACAGGCTCAGTAGTTGTGGCTCACGGGCCTAGTTGCTCCGCGGCATGTGGGATCTTCCTGGACCAGGGCTCGAACCCGTGTCCCCTGCATTGGCAGGTGGATTCTTAACCACTTTACCACCAGGGAAGTCCCCAGTCCAGCTATTTAAAATGAACTTTATGATGAATCCTGCTGAAAATGAAGTCTTTTTAAATGCAATTATTCCTTAATGTATCTTCTTTTCTAAGCCTGGGTTTTCAGATAAGCTTTCCTAGAATGAGATGGGCCATATCCTCTAAATCAAGCAAATACCTCAGTCAGTGCTAAGCAACGGGAAAGGTTTACAAGGCTAAAAGTCCATGCTCCCCGCAAGCCTCTCTAAACAGGATGCTGCCCAGGCCTTCACCGTCAGTGCTGTGACCACCATCAATGTCCTCCCTAAGACGTCCAGACCGACCGCTGCCTCCAATCCAGCTCCCTTCACAGTTTCATCCACACTCTTCAAATGTGCTGACGTGAAAACTGAACGTCCACAGCCCTGGCCCACTCACCCAGGCTTGAACCCCTGAGAACCTGACTCTTTAGTCATTTATCCCTAATGTCCAAACTCCCACAATAATCCATGCATTTCTTTGAAATAAGTCTTGAAAAAAAAAAACAACGAAAAACCCTTTCCTTTGGTCTTACTGCACTTAACACTTCGGTCATGACGTTACACTCATCTTTCTGCAACTGCCTAATTAATGTTTTTAACATCCCACTGCCTCCTATGGTTTGCTGGTCTAGAACGTACAGCAAGTACCTGCCTCTTGCATGACATCCAAACTCGCAGTTTTCATGGTCCTCCACAAGTGCATCCCGCCTTGAACTGCCAATACTCCGTGACCCAAATATAACTGTTTTATTTCAGGTGTGCTTGTATTATCTAACTTAACCAAATCATAAATGCTCTGGGGGCACAGGCTCTGGGTTTATGGGGTTTAATAAACAGTATTTAAGTACTAGAAACTTGCGCGCGCACACACATACGTTCTTTCAGAAACAGCTAATCTACTTCTCAGGGGCAAGTAGCTGGCAGTACCGCATGAAACACACCTGCCATGGAAATGTCCAATTCCTTCCTATTCTAGCCCTCAGCCATCAAGTAAAACGTCAGTTGCTGCTAGCATGCTGTTGATACGCTATTCTGCTCGGCAACCCCTACCTAGTTTTCCTCCAGGTTAAATATGCTGGCTAATTTGAGTTTTTAGAATCAGTGAGCTGGAGACAATGAAACCGTTACACAATCACTCTCCAGGGAAGATGACTTAAAACTCCTTAGACCAGAAACACATAAAGTGCCTGCTGCTGTCCTGCACAACCATCCCAGCTGTCTGCACGGTCGCCTGCCCCACTCGGGTCCCGGGTACCTCACTCTAGCACCTCGGATGCGTGTGTACCTCCTGCTCGCTCCCCCGAGAGCTGTGTGCATGGAGAGTCTGGGCTCAGGGCTGCAGCAAAGCTGCCAGGGAGCTGTTAGTCTCACCAACACTAAACTCCTGGGCACCTAGGGATTATCCATAATGTAATTACTCCTCCAGAGGAGAGGCTGGTAAAGGGGGCTACCTGGGAAAGAAGAGCCAGACAGAGGGGTCACTGGAAGAAAGGTGGTGGGAAGAAACTGAAAGACAGGGGGCAAATATATTTATGTCTCAAAACCTGTCTTCTGTGTCTTGTGTGTTTTCAGAGCTCAGTGGCTTCAAATGCCCCCCTAAAAGTGTGGGCATATAAAATACGATAGGCTGAAGTCAAGCTAACTTCAAAGTTCTAGTTTACCCCCAAGAACTGCCTTAATTATATCATGTGAGTCTGGGCCAAAATTTTTTTCTTCTTCTTCTTTCTTAAAGCTTCTAATTTTGAGATATGACAGAAAAGTCTTACAGGTACACATGGAAAAGCAATACCTGATCACAGTAGAAAGTGAAGACGATCTAATTAGAACTGTTTTTAACTGTCACAGAAGGCTTATAATGGCTGTTGAACATGTCTGAAAATTGCTTTTTCTAAGACTTACATTTTTCAGTCCTGAAGGCATCAGTTTTTACAACTCTAAAACGTTAAAGGATAGGGTGAAATTCATCATTGAATTCTTAGATGCTTAAACAAACCTTTAAGCATACGGTGAGAAAATAAAAGTTCTCTTAGGCTAAAGAAACAGCGTATGGAGATAAAGTAGACCCTATTTATATTGAAAATTCATGTCATCTTTTGGACGCAACATATTCTGTCTGTAGCACTTTAACCAACTTATTTAACTCAGCATTTTTAGAGACTGTAGGATGTTACTATGGTAACCGAGTACACTATGTATCCTCAGTTCCATAGTATACTATGTATATACTCAGTTTGGCACTTTGAAATGTACCAAAACATCAGGATTTACATAAACCTCCAACTGTGGTCCTGTCTAGGTGTGAAACCAACAGAACCGGTAATTATAATTTATTTAGGAGAAAAAAATACTTTATAACCTCTCCAACAGGCAACTGTTTGCTCTAAAGGGGAAAAAAGGCATTTTTGTAACTGTTGATCGTTCCGAACTTCTTGATTTACCTTCAACAAATGTTTTGCCTGTTGGCTTTTTAAATTTGTACGTGATCCACCCTGGCCCCTCTCTGGCATCTGTAGACAACGAAAGCACATCACACACAACCTGTGGGGAGGAGTGAGACCAGTGCATCTGTGGCTTCAGATCTAAGTTATACTGCTTGCCATGCACCCTGCTGAAGCGGGTCCTGCGGGTTGTGGCTGCGACCACTACTCTCAAGACTGTGAACAATCTGCACATCAGCTTCTTTCCGTATTTCACATTCTTGGGAAGATCTGCACTTAAAGATTTTCTCATCACATGAGAAACATGCCAGGCTGGTTAGCCGGCTGTTATGGTTTCCTGGAGGCTCAGTTTGCACTGCACTGTTTGAAGCTGCTCTTTAGTACACACTTAAAATTCTCATTCTGCCGCGGCTGCTGAGATGAACTCTGAGTTCACGGTGCAGTCAGTCATTCCTACAGATATCCAGCAGAGCAGCTGTATTTCAAGAAACCCTAATCGAATGCTAGTAAGCTGCTCTGGCTCATGAATCTTATTTTTGGTTATTCCAATTTTTCAACTGAGGTCCAACGTGAACACTGTCAGTTCCCACTGTATTTACATCTTTCCAGACTATGCTTCCTACTTATTCCATCTGTAGCCTCTGGATGGCCAGTGTGATGATGGCCCTCCTTTGCCTGAACTCCTGCAAGGTTTCCTATTGCATAAGTGCAAGGTCATCAAAGTCCCTGGGGCCTGACAACCGTTCACCCCTCCGGCCTTATTCCCCGCTGCTCTCCCCGCGTTCCCGACTGCTTCCTCTTCTCTGAAGGTGCGGGTGTTTCCCGCTTCTGTGCGTGTGCACACTGTTTCTCATGCCCCTCTCGGAGAAACTCCCCTCTGCCGCCCCCTCGGATATCATTTCTTCTGCAAGGCGCCGGCGTGAGGTGCAGCGGCTCTTCCTCGTGTGTCACACACGGGCCCATGTCCTTCCAGCGCCCACCTTGCTGACCGAAACAGCTGGTCCACGTGTCTTCCTCCTACACAGGCCTAGCTCACCTTGGGTGCACCTCGTAACTCACCACTAGGCCCTAAGTGCCGAGCACAGAGTATGACAAGGTGCACGGCTGCCGAATGGCTGAGGGGGTCAATTCCTGACATCACGCCGTGCGCCCGAAAGGGCTAACGTGACTCTAGTGGCATCGAGAATGACAAAACTGCTCAAAACTGCAAAGTACTGAGGAACATCCACGGGGCACAGTCTGAATGAACAGAGCTCCTGCGGTGCTCGACGTGGCCCTCGGGTGCCGCAGAATTTATGCCGTACACACTCAAGCGCTCGTTCTCACATCCACCCGTCTTTATTATTAAACATTTGCTACGTATCAGGCACTATGCTAGACATGTGAATACTGAGAGCACAGAAGTGAGTAGGAAAAGACAAGGTCTCTGCCCGGGCAATGTTTACAGTCCGGTAGGAGAGAGACAATCTGTTCTCACACACGTGCATAGAATAAACTTCAGGAAGGGGAGGGGCATGATGCCACGAGTCAATACGGGGTAAAAGGAACCAGCCGGCCGGGACTGGACGGAATGAGGCTTACACAGGTCCTAAGGGTAAGAATAAGTTAGTCTCACAGAAAGGAAAGAAACGAGGTTCCGCGGGGAGGGGGGCAAGGCAGGGCAGCGCATGCAGAGAGCCAGGGGGCAGCCTGGTGGTGCAAGGCAAGGGCCAGATTCAGGAGACCGGAACTGCTTCTCACCCTGAGAGCACTCAGTAACGAACGGGGTTCTGACAATGTTCTCCATGCTGTAGCCAGAAAAACATCTTTGAAGGGACCAGGGCAATGCAGGGAGACTAGTCAGGAAGCCACTAACATCACTTTTATCAGGGTGTTACTACTTGCCTCCTAAAAAGCAGACTCTTGATTGAGCTTTTTATGTTCCCTTCAAATCCAGACACCACTGAACAGTGTCTTTGCTAAGGAGTAAAATTCAGAGTCTCTGTGCTCCCGGGAGGATGCCACTGTGAGAGTATAAGGTTCTGTTCTAATCACCCACAGACGGGCTGCACGGGACCTGCCGTGACTCCAGCGTGGCGATTACTGAGTGGAATGCGCCTCTAGTTTTAGCCGAGTTAGAGAATCCCTAGCAGGGGGCGCCCTCGAACAGAACGACGAGAGATTGATTTACGCGAAAAATTCATGTTTTAAATGGCGACATAAGACTTTGGAGTGATTAGTCTCTACAAGCGCAGTTACAATTCCAGCATTCTTCTTAATTTACTAATTAATTATTTTAACCGGGAATGGATTCATTTAGCTTTTTGAAAAATGGCGCCCCTCGTAAAAGCATACGAAGGCACAAACTTTGCTTCAGTAGGCTCTTGTCTCATACTTAATGGCCCTCACACCTCACTTGCCTTACGTAAAGCCTTCTCACACAACACCCCGGCTCCGGCCACGACCGTCTACTCAGAGGTCTGGAACCGAGCCCTGCCCTGCACGCTCCGGCCCTGCCTCGCGAGCACCTACTCCGCTCTCCGCGCGCAGCCCCAGCGGCGCCCGCGCTGTGGCGCTCTGCCAGCCTCCCGCAGTCCCCATGGCAACGCGCTGGCGTCCTTGTTACAGCGCCCTGCGTCGTGGCTGCTCACGCTTCCTGGACTGTGAGGGCCGACACCGGTGCCACCTTCACCTGCGCGTCCTCGCGGTGAGAGCTGTGCCGGTTACAGCAGGCGCTCGGTGCGCGTGTGCCGATGAGCAAACGCGGGAGCAGGACGCGAGCATGCCACACACCAGCCCTGCTCCTCGGCACAGTGCTGTCTTCTCCACCAGGCCGGTGGTCAGGGCGCGAGGCATGCCTTGTCTCCAGTTCAGCACACGCTAGTCCTTGGGTAAACGCCATGTCTGTCCTCTCCTGCTTTCTGTTCAGAGCAATTCTTCAGGTAAGGATGGTTTTCCAGAAGAAGCTCATCCTCTCTCATCAGCGAGAAGAGTCAATTACAGATACACATATCTTGAAGTTTTAAATTTTATCTTGTATTACATTTTATGCCCTTCCTTAACTAAGGGAGAGAATTCCTCCACCTACAATCTCAATGAGCCTACAAACCATTCTTGGCTTAATACAAAAAGATGGTCAAAATAAGCACCAAGGTAAGTTTAGAACAAAAACCTATGGGGGGGTGGTGGTGGTGGTGGAAGAAAGCAGGGACCTTATCTTTGGATGTCCTCTGTACTCTGATTAATGGCTGGTACAGCGATAAGCATGTAGTAGATGCTCATGAACACCAGCAGCTGTTCATCTGTGACTCACCTGCTAAATCTACTCACTATGCCTTACAAGTGAACAGCTTCTCACTCTTCAGGGGGCAAGTTAAAGCTGCCTATAAGCTCATTCACTCCAGTGAAACCCATCAATAATACGGTCAGACCTACTGAGGTCATGTGAGTTGCTCTGAGCTTGTTTTTGATGTGTGCCTAAGGGGGAGGGCAGTCTAAAAGCAAAGCCTCTTATTCCAGACAACAAGTGACAACAATGTACAAGTTGGTATAATGAACTACTACAGTCACACCATCCATTTCTCCCTTTATCTTTAGGAAACAGAGAAGAAATAACCAATATCGCCGCTCAATCATCGACATTCTTATGAAACAGAAGCATGTTAGATGGTTAGCTCTTGGGACTTTGGACTAAATGGGTTACAGTCCCTAAGAGCCTGCCCGTAGCAGGCAATCAGTACACATCTATGAAGGAAGTGGATAACAGTATACTCTACATATTCATGCAAAAACTAGTCACATGAGTTGGTCATACACTTGATTATTTTTCCCCATGAAAGAATTAAATTCAGCCTCTTTGATGAAAATGGATACTTTCTTGATATAAACACAGAGATTTCGAATGGACATTTCATTAAACAGAGAGCAGGATCTTCTTTTACAACTTTAAGCATTACTAAAAGTAATTTTGATATCCGTTTTCACATTATGCACAGCTGAAAAATGAAGCCAATCTATATTTGTTTAAACAACGACTGAAGTTTTAAACAGCTTCATGCATTACGTTACCATGTTCCAGTCTGTTTCAACTTTTCTGAATATGGATTCCATTCTCCACACACCATTCTCCCATCCAGAAATGGTTTGGTTATTACTTGAAATGCGGACATAATGATTTTTTACTATATTATAGCAAAGGTGGAGCTGTTTAGAAATCTTCTCGTTTTCAGAGGGGATGAACAGGGTTTCTTTACTCTTAAAAAGAAAGCAGAATTAGCTTTTCAACATAATAGAAAACAGATACATAGAGAGGTACTGCTATGGATAGTGGTTAAGAGATTCCTTCAACTTGAAAATGAAAAACTGGTGCCATTGGAAAATCTGGAAAATATTTTACAGATTAAATATGAACAGGATGATGCTGACGTAGCACCAAACATTACTAGACAGAAAACAAGAAATATAAACTGTAGCTGACTTACACTTTTCCGATTTTGTGTCAACATGACTTCATTTCCACCACCACGTCTTAATTGGATGCTGCAATCCTCTCCTACAGCTGATTTCCCAGCTTTCAACTCTTCACCTCTCCACACAGTCATCAACGTGATTGTTAAAAATGTAAATTGGGACACATCACTTTCTTTTTTTTTTTGGCTGCACCACGTGGCATGGGGGACCTTAGTTCCCCGACCAGGAATCGAACCCACAGCCCCTGCAGTGGAAGTGCGGAGTCTCAACCACTGGACCCCCCCAGGGAAGTCCCTCACCTTCCTGCTTAACTGGCTCCACTGACCTCTCACTGCACAGGAACGCCACACCTCTACCAGGGCTACCAGGGCCCACATGGCTTGTCCTGTGCTCCTTCTCCAACCAGATCCCACGGCACCCTTCTCTGCGGTCTCTTCACCCGCACCGTGTTACTTCTTCTTTAGTTCCTCACAAAGGCCCAGCTGCTTCCTGCCATGGGGCCGTGACACATGCTGTTCCCTCCGTCTGGAATGCTGTTCCTTCTACTCTCCAGCTACGTGATTCTTTCTCACCCTTCAGGCCTCAGCCTAAAGCTGTTTCACCAGGGTCCTTTCTTGATGCCCGAAGAGAGGACAGTGCCTGGGAGGTATAGCTGGAAACAATCTTCCGCACATGTGAAATTGCTACAAAAACTCCTGTTTCACCTTAAAATTCCAGGCAAATTTTGCATTCTATTACAAAATAAATGTTTATTTTAATGTTAAACAGGTGCCTGAAATCACCGGTTGAATCTCAGGTTTGAGGCAGAGGATGTATTTGTCCCACACCTGTCTGTGGCACCGACACAACATCCCCTCCCGCTCAGATGTGAGCATAGCAGCGTGTGGTGTGCGGGGCTGGGCTGCCCTGTGCACTGCAGACTGCTCGGCAGCATCCCTGGCCCCTCACCCACCAGATGCCAGTGGTACTGCCCCTCACAGCTGGAACCCCCAAAATGTCCCTGGACATTACAGATGTCTCCTGGAAGGCAGTCATCCACTGTTGAGAACCACTGCTCTAGTCTGTATCAACCTCTTGCTTCTAACTAATCAATTTACTAATCAATCAAGATAGTAGGTGATGCTTTCCTGTTAAACACTGGGAACTAGGTAGTACACAATGTAAAAACTTCAAATGTACAAGGATCAATAAGTAGAATATAAAACATCTTAGAGATGGAAAGAGAAAAATATTTATAAATGTATAAACAAGATAATTCCCTAGCAGAACCTGGATATGGTTAAAAAAAAAAAAAGGGCAGTTTATTATTTTTAGGAGGTGATTTTCTAACTATGAATTAGTACACTACACTTTAAAACGAGCACGTAACAATACTTCTCAATTCTTCTCTTCTCTATCAAAGATATTTCAGAGTGCTGACATAACCCAGGTGGGATTAAAATATTAAAGTAGCATTGTCTACCATTTTACCAAGGATAACTAATTACCAAAGGGAAAAGAAAAATATACGTTACTGAATATATCATATTTCATAATTTCTTTAAAATATAAGATTAAGACAAAACTTCTCTTTATGAAAATATCACCAATGTTTCCTTCTTTTTCCAACCGATTTCAAGATACAGTTCCCTAATTTTTTAGGACTGACTTTTAAAACAAACATCTATTTGTAAAGAGGAAAATGATTTTTTAAATCCACGGCCCTAATATGGTCTCCAATAATTGAGAAATTTAAAAAATGTTCATCAGGGAAAACAATCCGGGCATAGGACCCAATTCATATTTTTAAAGTTTAATCAATGTATATGCCATGCAAGAGGAAGCGCACTCATCCACAAAAAGAAAAAGAAGCGAAGACCTAAATACCCCCATTTTAAACTGAACACAGCTGTGAATTACATTAGCTCTTTTCAATTGGCTTCATTTAGATTTAGACTTGTAACTTGCACTGCATCAGCAGTGATCTGAATTATTTGTTGAAATTAGATCTTGTAATTCTATAGCTGAACCAACACTTCTAACTGCCAGCTAAAGATGATGGGATAAATTTAAGAGTAAACAAAGTTTACTAGAGATAATTCTCCCCTTTGGGACATATTCCTTTATTAGAGAAATGAGGTGTAACTGGCAAATTTAGAAAAAGTAGATATAAAACTTTGTGTGGAGCTGTTTGATACTTCTACCGTGATGGATTATTTTCCTTTCAAGCATTTTTCATTGCTTATCTTCTTAGACGTTTATATTAAATACCTTCTAGTGAGTCAACTTTAAGCTCCCTAAGAGCAAAGGACAGTCTATTGTACTTAATGTCCATTACAGAGCACACTGCTTTAATGCTAGTCCCTAACTCTAGAAATTACATTTCCATTGTTCATTATTTAATTTTGGGAGACTAGTCAAGTGATAATATCTTCAAATAAGTTTGACTATATAATAGTACTCAGAGCAACAACACTTTCTAGCCCAAACCAGATGCAGGCAAGTATGTAATAAGAAATACACACTTTCATCTGCTGAATTACCCAGGTTCTATTATTTTTCCCACTTTATAAAGTTTTCCTAGCACTGAACGGGACTTCACAAAAGAGGATATCCAAAAGTTTAAAGAATGGGACTTCCCTGGTGGCCCAGTGGTTAAGAATCCACCTTCCAACGCAGGGGACGTGGATTTGGTCCCTGGTCGGGGAACTAAGATCCCACATGCCGCGGGGCAACTAAGCCCGAGCGCCGCGCTACTGAGCCTGCGCACTTCAACGAGAGCCTGCGCGCCCCGAACTACAGGAGCCCACGCGCCGCAACTAGAGAGAAAACCCACGCGCCACAACTAGAGAAGCCCACGCGCTGCAACGAAGAGCCCGTGCACCGCAACAGTAAGATCCCACATGCGGCAACCGAAGACCTGACACAGCCAGAAATAAAAATAAATAAATAAACGAAAGTTTAAAGAACAGACATTCAACTTCATCATTCAGCACCAAAGTGCAAATTTAAAATCGGAAAAAAAAAATAGATATATGTGTACGTATAACTGAATCACTTTGCTGTATACCTGAAACACAACACTGTAAGTCAATTATATTTCAATAAAAAAAAATAAATTAAAAAAAACCCTATGTTTTCCAGGAAAAAAAAGTAATTTCTTACTAAAAAAATATTAATATACAATATATTATAAATAATAATATACAATATACAATAAATATATACAATGATATACAATATTGCATTAATTTTAACTGTACAGCAAAGTGGTTCAGTTATTTCTATATATATATTTTTCAGGTTATTTTCCATTACAGGTATTACAAGATACTGGATATAGTTTTCTGTGCTATACAGTGAACCCTTGTTGTTTATCTCTTTTATACATGGTAGTGTGCATCTCTTAATCCCATACTCCTAATTTATAACCCATTCCTCTCCCCTTTGGGCAACCATAAGTCTGTTTTCTATGTCTGTGGAGTCTGCTTCTGTTTTGTAAATAGATTCATTTGTATTATGTTTTAGATTCCACATACAAGTGATATCATGTAATATTTGTCTTTGTCGACTTACTTCACTTAGTATGATAATCTCTAGGTCCATCCATGTTGCTGCAAATGGCATTACTTCATTCTTTCTTATGGCTGAATAGTATTCCATTGTATATATGTACCACATCTTCTTTATACATTCATCTGTTGATGGACATTTAGGTTGTTTCCATGTCTTGGCTATTGTAAATAGCACAGCAGCACAACTTTAAGCCAAAATCGAGAAACAACCCGAATACCCAATAGTGATGTGGATAAATTATACTATGTTCACACAGTGGAATATTATACCACAATGAGAAAATAAATGTACTATAAACAAGCAGCAACAAGTGTGAATCTCACTAAATAATGTTGAGACAGAAATCGTCCACAAAAGAGTACATCCTGTATGATTCCATTTACATAAAGCACAATAACAGGCAAAACTAGTCCATGATATTAGAAACCAGGAAAAAGGTCACTCTTAGGGGTGAAGGGCAGTGGCTGGAAGGGAACTCAGGTCGTTCAGACACCTGCTTGTCTGACTTCTTATTCTGGTTAGTGGTCACATGAGGAACCACAATTCGTGAAAATCTGTTAAGCTGTACACTTACAATTAATGCGTTTTTATGTACTTTAGTCATAACTGCCCTAGAAATTTACGTAAGGTAACAACAGAAAAATCCCATTTTAATTGCTTTGCTAACTCTTGTATGTAATTATACTACATCAATCTATTATTGGTTCTCTTCAAATGTTTACATTTTTTAATAATTACCCTGCAAAGTTCATTGAAAGGTCGTGGCCAACCGTGTTTTTCTGTACGTAAAGGGCACAGGACAGGAAGTGGTAAAGTGAGAAGGTTATCAGGCTGTAATGAAGTAAATACCTCTGGATCCGTTTCACCTCGGGCTACTCTCCATGCCAAGGACCCAGATATCCTTCCTCCAAGTTCTCCAGGCTTAGGGCTTTTGGGAGATATAAATTCAACAAGCTCCACAATGATCCTCTGGAGAAGTTCTTTTCTTCTGTTTTCTGACAAAGATATCTGCCTCTGTAATGCACGTTTAAAAAACCATCATTAACGATTAGGGGAATGCAGAGGTCCATCTCTAAGTATGAATATAATTAAGACATTTGTATTTTAACAGGGTCTTGGAAAGAAGTAACCAACTTTGTTTTCATACATGTAATTTTGGAAAATAGAAAGGACACTGTGGAAACAAAATACTTTTACAAATTTTATGTTAAGAAATCACTGAACACCCATATCCAACTTCCCATGCCCTTTACTGGCTTACGTTTAAACAACTGTCCTGCTGAGAAAGGCGAGGACAGCAGGGAACAACACACACACACACACACACACACACACACACACACACACACACACACCAGCTGTCTGAATGCAACACAAAACTACAAAGGTATACACACACACACACACAACAGCTGTCTGAATGCAACACAAAACTACAAAGGTATCCCGACCTGAAGAAGCTAAGATCCCAAGGGAAGAAACAAACTGAGGTGAACTGAACTGCACCTCTTCTCCCTTCCAGGCATTTGCCAATCATCAAATGGCCCAAGGAGCCAAGCTCAAAACAGGTGAACGTGCTGAAACACTGAATCTCAACCACTGTAAGGTGATCTGCCCTATTCTAATTGCAAAATAATATGCATATATATATATATATATATTAAAAAAATTTTTCAGTACTACCAAAGGGGTATAAAATCAAAGCTGAAACTTCCCTCTTGGACCCCCCAGTCCTCTTCCCAGAAATACTCATTGTTAACAACTTCCCGTGCCTTGTTCCAGAAATTTCCCTACGTGGACAAGTGTATGGGTAATTATATTCAAGACACAATTACTTTGAAAAATAAGGCAACATATTTTTTATGTCAACTAGTATATATATGGAAATTTTGTTTCACTGAACTTTGAGATGTGACAATTTAAGCCAAAAAAAACCCCACCTCACAATACTTAAAACAAGTTCTCAAAAATTTTAATTTAAATATTTAAATATTTTTCATTGTAAAATAATGCTACTACTTGAAGAACTTCACTGGGTTAAAAATTGGCTATTCTTGATTATATAATATTTCAAATGTCCTCTGAAAAATGCCAAATGCCCATCACATACCTGCTTATTAAGTGTATTAATAGTTTCTCGAAGTAACTCTTCTTTAATTTCAGTTCTTCTGGAGATCACCTCTTCATGTTTACAAGAATATCGCCAAGTGACGTCAACCACCTCGAATTACAGGACAGAAATATTTAATAAGATTACAACCATCAACATTAATTGGCTAAATACCTAGAATGCATGTAATTCTTAAATAGAATTTTTTAAATGTTGTCCTTTGTTTAACATTTTAAAACCTGTGGGAAAAAAAAATCGAAGAGAATATGCTTTTTATTCATTTTCTAACCAGTATACACTTCCAAGAAAGACTGTGATTAGGAGATAAAAGTTTCAGAACATTTAGCTGTTTATAACTTACCTACAAAGCCGATTTCACAAAATTCAACAAATAAACACACTCCATTTTTATTGTACTGAATATATAAATTATATATAAATATATTATAGAACTGATTTTTGACAAAGGTACAAGGCCAATTCAGTGGAAAGGGATAACTTTTTCAACAAACGGTGCTAGAACAATTCATTATCCATATGCAAAATAATGAATTTCAATTCACACCTTGGACTATCTACAAAAATTAGCCCAAAATGGATCACAGACACAAGTGTAAAACTAAAAGTATAAAACTTCTAAAAGAAAACGTAGGAGAAAATCCTTGTGGCTCGGGCTAGGCAAACATCTCTTAGACATAACATCAAAAAGCAAGATCCACAAAAGAACAAATTGATAAACTGGACTTCATCAATTTCTTCTCTTCAAAAGTCACTGAGAGAATAAAAAGACAAGCCAGATAGGGAGAAAATCCTTGCAAAGCACATACCTGAAAAAGGACTTGTATTCAGAATGTATGAAGAACTCTCAAAACTCAAGAATAAGAAAATGAACAACCCAATTAAAAAAAGAAAGGGCAAAGAAGAGAAATGGATGACAAACAATCCCATAAAAAAGATGCTCAGTGTTGGTCCTCAGGAAAATGCAAATGAAACCACAATGCGACACCACCGCACGTCTCCTAAAAAGGGCTAAAATGAAAAAGTCAGACCATACTGTTAGCAAGAATATGGAGAAACTGGGAATTCGCACATATTGCTGATGAGAATGCAAAACAGCATCATCACTTTGGAAAACAGTTGAGCCAGTTTTTTAAAAAGTTAAACAATCACCTACCATACGATTCGGTCATTCCACTAGCAGGCATTTACCAAAGAGAAAAGAAAGCATATGCCCATATAAAGACTTGTGCAGCTGTATTTGAAATAGTAAAAAACTGCAAAGTACCCAAATGTCCATCAACAGGCAAATGGATAAACAAACCATGGTACATTCATACGATGGAATACTGCTCAGCAATAAAAAGAATAAATTATTGATACTTGCAAATACATGGAGGAACCTCAAAATAATTATGATGAGTAAGATAAACCCCCCCCCTTCAAAAAGAGTATATATGATTCCGTTTACATACAACTCTGGAAATGCACATTAGTGTACAGTCTCAGAGAGTAGATCTGTGGTTGCCTGGAGAGGGGCAAGAAGGAGCGAGAACGAACACAAGGAAACTCCCGGGATAATGGATGTGTTCACCACCTTGACTGCAAAGGTCATCTCTCAGGCATATACAAATGACAACACTTATTAAATTGTACACTTTAAACAAGTGCTGCTTATTTTATGTCAATTATACCTTCAAAGGCTGTCAAAAAAGAAAAAAAAAATTTATTCTTAGAACACATTTTTTCTCTTCCGTCCTACCTCATCTTTAGAAAATGCGATGATGTAGGACAGCTTCTTGCCCCAGCCGATCTCATAGAGGAGGGGCTTGTCACAGACGTCTTCACACGCGTCACAGTGCAGCCACCGCTGCTGAGAAGGGGAGTACACTTCTGTCCAGACGTGGTCTACGCAAGTGACAGACAAGACGCGACAGAAAGAGAAAAACAAAAGCTAAGTTTATAAAACCAAGACTTCCAATAACTATATACAAACGCCTAAGATGAGAACCACGTGATAATATGCAAGATTCTAAATTTTAATTAACAAGTGAGCATTTTGTGGCACACAAGACTCTAGAACACCTGCTTTAATTTCTCTCTCTCTCTCTTTTTTTTAAATAGGGGCAATTCTTGATGACTTTTTTTTTTTACTTTTTATTTTTATTTTCTGGCCGTGCCCTGCGGCATTTGAGATCCTAGCGCCCCAACCAGGGACCGAACCTGTGCCCCCTGCAGTGGAAGCATGGAGTCTTAACCACTGGACCGCCAAGAAGTCCCTCTCTCTCTCTTTGAAATCCTTGCAATTGTTTTGGAAAATCTCCTTTAATACAGTCAGTTTTAGGCTTAATTAAAAATAATGTGAGCTATAACTCTGAAAAGGGCAAACACATTGAACAACAGCACGTAAACCATAGGACTAATGCACACAGTTTGCTTATGTGAAGGAGTTAATTCCACTTTGGAACTGTAGGCCAGCAGAGGTCTAACAGAGGATGTCTGGTTACTGATGGTCTCTATCTGACTGTTAAGAGAACAATAACTATTAAGTGAAGGTTTCATTTTATCCTAAGAAAATAACAGAAACACAAGTAAAAAGATCTAAGAAGAAAAACTTTTTAACATGTGACACAAGTTATAACTAAATAAGGACAATATAAATCTCACATGGCTATTATTATATTTTATTGTATATTAAGATTACTAAATCTTTTACACTAATCTCTACAAAAATGAAGATTTCTACAGAACATTATTACACACGTTCTTATCCATAGAGAAACAGCACTACTAAAATGTCATGATAAATTGTTAATAAAAAATGTTTATAGTGTAAAGTACCAGACAAAATGCTAGGGGTACTAAAAACAATCCTGTGATCCCCATTAAAAAAAAAAAAAAAAAAAAAAAACCCCACGAGGCTGGGATTACCGCTATTTACAGAAGGCAAATGGAAACACAGACTGACAAGGCGGGACTGTACACCCCATCCTGAAGTCAGCAAGACCACCCTGGCCTCTGCCCACACGGCGTCCGCACCTGTGTAATCCCAGACGTAGCGGGCTTCGAAGCCCAGGGCTCTGCAGCACAGTGTGAAACAATTGGCCCACTCCCCGCACCGTCCACATCTTGTTTCCAGAAGTTTCTCGGGATTATTATACCTGGTTTAAAATAACAACAACAAAAAGCTTCGATTCATTATAGAAATCAAGCATTCTGAAGAATTTACATTACCTCCGTGCTAAACAGTAATATTTCTTAACTTCATATTCTTAAATAACAGTTAAAGAGCCTAGATTATGTGAGGCATTGTGCTAGAATCCTGGGTGGAAAATGATTCAACAGTGGTACAGCCTTCAAGGAGCTTACAGTCCTGAGAGAGGGAAGGAGAGAACACAAATCATTTAAGTACACAGCAGACTGTGATACCTACCCTACAACAGGTCAGAATTAGTGTCATGGGGGAGGGGTCGGGGAGGAGGGCTTGATCCTGAACTGGGCCTTGAAGGACAGGCAGGATCTGGACAGGCAGATTCTCTAGGAAATCTGCATTAAGCATTAGTGTTACTCTAACAAGTGGTATAATGAGCTCATTGTACTTCAAAGGTAAACAACTTTAACAAATAACTCAAGAAAGATTTTAAAGCTTAGCTGAACTCAGTTTTACTTAAAATACTATTCTTCTTTCTAACAACCATTTGGATTGAAATTTTATTCTGCTGAATTACTTAAAGGTGTTTGCTGATTTGCAAGTTGTGTTTTGAAATGTGTTGGCAACATTCTTTAAAAAAGTTACTCCAGTTATAAAATTATCATAAAGCTGAAGCACATCAAAATTTGCATATTGTGTTGAGAAGGATTTTGAGCTAATAAAGCTACTCAGGAAAAGTGAGCAGCGATGTCAGCTGTGAATGGACCGTATCTGCAATGACAAGCTATCTGTCTTCAATCAAGTAGATGCTCTTGCTTGAGCTAAGTTAAATGAATTTATGGTTTAGGTAAGGTAGTTACTGGAAGAAGTTGCGTATTAACCTGAAGAAGTAATGGCAGCAGGATTAGAGCATCCTCCGCCTCCATCTTCTAAACACACTCGTGCCAACTTGAAAGGCTGCTTGGTCTCTGATTAATAGTGTTCATCCTCCCAGCCCTACCCAGAGAACAGCTAACAGTAAGACGAGCACACGGTTAGGAGGGAAAAGGACGATGCTCGGTACAGACACCTTTGTTAGCTTCTGTCTCCCCGCACTATCAGTCTACACCCAACTGCTTAGACCTTATGAAGACAGGATTTAATCACAGACATCTTTTATCTTCACATCTTTGCAAAGTACCTGGGCACACATATGCTGAATGAAAAAATAACCTGCGCTTATTTTAGATAATTATTGGACAGTGGATTCTGTTTATCTTAGACTCTGTATATCACAGGACTGATTCCTCATTAGGATGGAACTGAGTCCCTAAGCCCCCAAAATCAGGTATTTCAAAAACCTGATATCTTTTCTTGCCTGATGATACAACCAAACTTTACAAGTATTGTCAATTAAGAACATCTGATAAGAGACTTATAAAGTAAAGGATGGAAAAAGTGAACAGAAAAGTTCCAGTTCTCTTAGTTTAAATTTAGAGATATGAGGGTAGGTTAGGGTGGTAGCAGAGGCCCCTAATTAAACTTCTGTCATTCAAGATAAAATATGATGAGGGGACTTCCCTGGCGGTCCAGTGGTTAGGACTCGGCGCTTCCACTGCAGGGGGCGCGGGTTCGATCCCTGGTCGGGGAACTAAGATCCCGTGTACCACACAGAACAGCCAAAAAAAAAAAAAAAAATTTGGTCCTATACTGTACTTTCACCTTCCATATTTCCATCTGATGATTTTGAGTACAGCATTGTATTTACTATCACAATGATCCCTATTATTCTAGTGTTTCAGCATCATTTTATGTGTTATCAGTATTATTATTAAAGTTATCAGAAAGTTAAAACTTATGTATTAAAAGAATAAAAATACAAGATTTACAGCATTAAGTTGCTAGGACTACACTCAATTTATATTCAAGAGTCAACAAACATTTCCTATATAAAGCCAGACAGTAGATGTTTTAGACTGTGCAGACCATATGGTCTCTGTTGCCAGTATTCAACTCTTGACATTGTAATGTGAAAACAGTTACAGACCATAAGCTATTGAAGCAGCATGGATGTGTCCCAATAAAACTTTATTTGCAAAAATAGGATGTGGGCTGGATTGAGCCAGTCAGCCATAGCTTGCTGACCCCTGTCCTAGAGGAATATACTTCTAATAACTAAAACGAAGATTACAAGTTGATTTAATAAAATTCTCTTCTAACCATCCCAATAAGAGATTATTCTGACTTCAGTGTCCAGGGGATGCTCACCTTGGAAATCGATTGCTGAACTGGCAGGCGTCACAGTAATGATCTTCCACTCTGTTTGCACCCCACTTCCGCTCATCATCACTGGGGAACAATGATTCGCCTCTAGACTTAGTCTGGCCACCACATTTGCTGCACAAAATGTCATCCACCCAGTGAAAAAATTCTTCCTTAAACCAGTGTAAAAGCTCCAGCAAAAGAAAGTCCTCTTCACTTACATTAGTACCTGAGAAGTTATAACAGAACCAAGTAAGATTTAGAGCATAAAAAACTAAAAACATCCATGTGCATTTTATCCTCAAATATGAAGCTGAAATATATGAAAACAGAAGATGACCTAAAAGGTCTTCACAAATAGGATGCGGACAGAATTGTCAGTGTATTGTGAAGCAGGCTGAAATACAAGGACGTAATCCACTGCACACTCAAAGCAGTGGGACTTTACTGCATCCTCTGACCGACACCATGCTGAATACAACCACCTCTCAGGGAACTACTGACAGTTTGGAGTTGATCCTGAAGCACCTGGAAGGTAACAAAGTCTGATTTTGGAAAACATTTTTAAATGACTGCATTATATTTGTTATCAGGTATATTCACAAGTAAATATGAAGCAATCACAGTTATTACAGGCAGAAATCACAGAATTCTGGACACCTTAAAAATCATCCTATTAGCTTTTCTATTAGTGCTTCAACTGTACAATATAATTCACCATCATTCAATATAATCCACAAAACACATAAAAGCACAACCATGTGTACTATCTATCTATCTATCTATCTAAAACAACCCTAGCAAGTGAGCATGACATATATTATTATATCCACTTTATCAAATAAAAAGATCTCTCTCTCGACCATATTCAAGACAGTGGTATCTCTGGGAAAAAGGAGAGGGGAAAACAATCTCGGGACATATATGGGGATTCTCATTCCTATCTTTAATATTTTATTATTAAAAATAAAAAAACATATATGAAGGAGATATATGGCATAATGTTAAGATCTAATAAAGTCTGATGCTGGGCACAGGTGTTTGATCTGTTATACGCTATTCTTGTATTTATGTTTGATACGTTTCAAAATAAAAAAACTATAGAAGAAAAAAAAACTACAGAGAATATTAAAAGGCCAAAATACATTATGTTCTTGAATGGGAAAACTCAAAGTTGTTAACTCTCCGCAAATTAACCTGTACTTTAATGCAATCAACTGAAATTACAAAATAATTTTTCATAAACTTTGATAAGCTAACTGCAAAATTCATGTGAAAGAGGAAAGGCACAAAATGATCAACACAACTTTGACTAAGAATGAGATAAATTTGTCTACAGTACATCAAAACACATTACAAAATTCTAATAATTAAAATATTGTGATACTGATAAAGAATAGACAGAGATGAATGAAACAAAGCAAAGAGTCCTGAAAGATAGATTTCTAAGTGATACACAGTATTTAATAAAGTTAGCCTTTAAAGTAGTTCTAAGAGGATGGATTGTTCAACAAATGGTATTGGGACGAGTAGCTATCCAAATATCAGATCCCTACTACATTCATTCTAATACATATATATAAACACTATACACAGAGAGGGAATATTATAAAAGGAACAGTAGAAGTTTACGTTTATGACTTTGGTGTAGAAAACAAAACACAACTGTAAAAACAAAAACGGAAAAAATAATTTTCTCATTAAAATTTGTAACTTTTGAATTTCAAGATACACTGAATGAAATTAAAGAATACTGAGAGAAAAATGTAATGAGTCTAACAAAGAAAAGTATACAGAATATATTAAGAATGTCTATAAATCAGTAAGAATATTAACAGAACCCATTAGAAAAATTAGTAAAGTCCATAAAAGAAGTTCAATAATTTCATTAAGTTGAAACAAACACTCCCAGACACTTCTGGTATAAATTGGAAGGCGATTTGTTTGGCAGGGATCCACTGTAGTATAAAAGTATCACACAACCCTTGATACTTTTATATCTAACCCAGCGAAACATTCCTTCATGTAGGCAGGCATGCTTTACAAGGATCTTCACTGCAGCAGCCTTCAGAACAGGGAAATCTTGGTGTCCATCAGTGGGGAACTGTATAAATAACAGTGCATGCACACTACAGAGCACTAGGGGGAGGGAAAATGACTTCCAAGACATGTCAGTAAATGAAAATCACCACGGAGCTGAATATATGAGAGATGATACACTTTATTAAACCCATGCAACTTTATTTATTTTTACAGATAACTATTTATGGGTGGAAATACACAGGAAAAGATATGAAAAGGAACACGTCACGTGGTAATAGCTGTTACCTGCAGAAGAGGAGGTAGAGGACTGACTGGCAGGGAGAGTTCAGCTTTTCCTGTACAACATGAAAGTTTCTCAACAAGGAGACATTCGTGAATGCTGGACTAAAAATGAACTTTAAGAAAAACAGCACTCTCATCTGTTTTCTCCAACAAGTCCCTACAGCAGAGTGATCTTTTTAAGAATGCAAGGTAGCCTGAGTCGACTGAAACCCTCCCATGGGTTTCCATCTCATTCAGAATACAAGCCAAAGTCGCCACTCTCGTTCTTTCAGCTGGCCCCTGTGGTAGGCCGAAAAGTAGCTCCCCCAAAAGATATCCACACTCTAACCCCTGGAGCCCGTGAATCCTACCAAAGAAGGCAAAAAAAAAAAAAAAAAAAAAAAAGGCCTCTGCAGATATGATGCAGTAAGGATTCTGAGCCAGGGAGATTATCCTACGTACTAAACGGGGGCCCTAAATGCAATCACACGTGTCCTTTCAAGAGGGAAGCAGTGGGACACTTTACAGAGGGGAAGGTGACGCAGCGGCAGAGGAGCCGGGTGTGAAGATGCTGGTCTTCTGGACTGCAGTGGTGCAGCCACAAGCCAGACTGCAGGCAGCCCCAGAAGCGGACAGGGGCAGGGAGAGCTTCTCCTCTCCAGCCCTGCCCACACCTTGACTTCGGCCCAGGGATACTGATTACGGACTTCTGGCTTCCGGAGCTGTGAGACAGCACTCTCCTGCTGTTTCGAGGAGCCACGTTTGTGGTAATTTGCTACAGCAGCACAGGAAACTAATGTTTGCCTTTGCCTCTCTCAGCTTTCTGTCTTGCTCCTTCTGCTACGCCAGGTGCCCTCCTTCCATCCCCTAAACATGCCAAGCTCACTCCCACCCACGGAGCCTTTGCAGTTGCCAATGCCTCTACCAGAAAAGAAGTGTTCCTTCTTTCCTACTTACATTAAAACGCCATTATCCTGCCCTTATATTTTCAAGTGTGAAAGGATATACAGTTGACCCTTGATCAATGCAGGGGTTATGGGTGCTGATCTCCCCCATGCAGTGGAAAATCCATGTATAACTTTACAGTCAACCCTCTGTGGTCCCACATCCACGGATTCAACCAACCTTGGACCATGTAGTACTGTAGCATGTCTTTAGAGAAAAAAACCTGCGTGTAAGCGGGCCCGCACAGTTCAAACTGTGTTGTTCAAGGGTCAACTGCATACACAATCTTAGAAGTTGCATTCTGATGTGATGAAATCATGGATGGCTTATCTTCCCCCTATTTCCTGAATTTTCTACATAAAACAGGTATTACTTTTATAATTAGAGGGAAAAAATGCCAGGGCAAACGTCAGCAGGGACATTGCTAACTATGTCTCCTCTGCAGGGCTCAGCACACACACAACATGACAGTAAGTACCTGCGAAATAGGCATGTATGTCAGGCATCACGTACAGGACCACAGTACTTTGAAATGGACAGAGCCTCCGTGACCACATGCTGATAAGCATCCTTGTTTTATAAATAGAAAAAAACCAAAAAACCCTGTTAATTCAAGAAGAGGAAGAACTGTTTCAAGGTCTCACAACAAACCTGTAGCTTAAGTAAGTTTGGGGAAAGGGCACTTCTCTGACTCTAGGCCCCTCCGGTCTTCCTGTCTCACCTATGGGGGGTGGGTCACAGGCCCGAGCATAAGGCCCCCTAAGACCCTGAGATTTAACCCTAAGATTACAGAATGCTCCTCTCCCACACCTCACCACCACACCAACAGGACTCCGGTACAACAATAGGGGATGATTACAACTAAACCATCTGCAGGATGCAGACTCGAGCTAAGGAGGGGTCCTTAGGGAAGCCCACAGACAACAGAGGGACCCCAAGAACACCAGAGGAACCCAAAGCCCCTGACGCTTACAGCAAACATTAAACACAATGTCGTTAACGGTGTCCAATTCCTAGTAAAATGGACATTTACACCTTTCAAAAAAGGCCTGTTCACCTCAGTTCCTATTACCCAATACATCGTATCCAACATTTAACAAAAAAATTACGAGGCATGCTAAAAGGCAAGGAAAAACCTGAAGGAAAGAAAAAAGTCTGAAGAGGTAAAGCAAAGCATTAGAACCACTCATATACGGCACAAATTTTGGAATTAGGGAAGTTAAAATTACTATGATTAATATGTTTGGGGCGCTAATGAGAAAGGTAGACAACATGTGAGAACAATGTAAGCAGAAGGATGGAAACTCTACAAAAATGCTAGAAACCAAAAATGCTCTAACAGAGATAAAGAATGCCTTTCACGGGCTCATCAGTAGACTGGACACAGCCAAGGAAACAATCACTGAGCCTGAAGACAGGTCAACAGAAACATCCCAAACTGAAAATCAAAGAGGAAAAAAGAGAATAAATACAAACAAAGGAACAAAACACCTAGAACATCTAATTATGGTGGGAGAATTTAAAAAATGGACCAGAACATCTAACGATGGTGGGAAACGGTTGATAAATAAAGGTAGAATAGGATACCCTATTTTGGAATATCAGAAGGATAAGAAAGAGAGAAAGGAGCAGAAGAGATACCTGAAGCAATAATGGCCAAGAATGTTCCAAAATTAATGAGGCACCGAACCACAGATCTGGGACGCTCAGAAAACACCAACCAGGATAAGTACCAAGAAACTACACATATGCACATCATATGCAAACTGAAGAAAACTAAAAACAAAGAGAAAATCCTGAGTGAAGCTGGGGATGGAGGGGGAGGTGAGGGGCACAGGTGGGAGAAACCTGAAGAAGAATAAAGATAGAAATTACGGTGGACTTCTCCTCATAAACAAGCAGGCAGCAGAGTGAATAGAAATTTAAAGTGTCATTGACAGAAAAATCCCCACCAACCTAGAATTCTACATCCCAGGGATATTATCCTTCAACAGTGAAGGAGAAATAAAGACTTTCCAAGGCAGAGAAAAACTGAGGGGCTTCACCTCTAGTATACCTGCCCTGAAAGAAACAGTAAAAGAGGTTCTTCGGGAAGAAGAAAAGTGATGGTCATAAACTCCGGCCTGCATACAGGAAGAGCATCAGGGGAAGAATGCATGAAGGTAACATAAAATCTGTTATTTTCCTCATTCTTACTTAGTCTAAAAAGTAACAGCTTAAATAATAACAATAGCAATGTACTGAGTGATTACAGTGTCTGGGTAAGTGAAATGAATGACAGCAGAGTCTCAAGGGATGGGAAGGAAGAATTGAGACATTCTGTTGAAACGTATCTGCACTACACACGAAGCAGCATAATGCTTTTGAAGGAGGGGGAGGGATAAATTGGGAGTCTGGGATTGACATACACACACCACTATATATAAAATGGATAAACAAGGACCTACTGTATAGCACAGGGAACTCTACTCAATACTCTACAATAAGCTGCACGTGAAAAGAATCTGAAAAAGGATAGATACATGTATCTGTATAACTAAATCAATTTGCTGTACACCTGAAACTAACACAACATTATCAATCAAGTATACCAATATAAGATAATTTTTTTTTTAAATTGGAAAAAAAATGTTTACTGTAAACTAGGGCAACCACCAAAAAAATACTACAGAACCCCCTAGAAAGGACAGTATTAAGAAATGACTTAACAGATAAAAACCAATTACATAAAACTCAAAGTAAAAATGCTGAAGTTGGAAACATTTAACAACTAAAATCCTAAGACCATTAACGAAAATAACAAATAATTATTGCTTGATGAATGTGGCAGGCACTGTTCTGAGCCATTTACACGTACTATCTCAGTTATCTCTTAAAATTATCATTCCTATTTTCAAATGAGGAAACTGAGGTAAGGAGATTAAACTACTTGCTCAGTAAGAGTCAGAGCTGAATTTATACCCAGGTAGCTGGCTTCTATATCCACACTCTTTATCAGTAACTGTCTATTAAAGGGAGTCAGTGGTCTAATCACATGAATTAATTTTGAGTAAGGTTTTTCTCCGATTCACATTAAAATCTTCTAATAATGCCATCATATATTCCATGGACTAAAGATCTACTATATCTGAAAAAAAAATCATATATCAATGATTAAACAGCAAATACACATTCCAGTGTGCATGAGGTGTATGCAATAAAAAATTATACTACTGTACTTCTTAAAAATCCAAATAGAACTGGGTTACGTATTTACAATGTCAACAGCAAAAGGCACCATTTCAGCATTCCCATTTATTTAGCAATGATGCATATTTAGCAATGAATGGTTATGTAAAGCCACTACCTTTATCCAATTTTCTAGCTCTAGATAACTTTTCTTGTGATCTCCTTTTTAGTTCTTGGACTGGAATACAAGCCAGCACTTTCTCCTGGACAGCAAGGTTCTCATAGACCAGTACATGCTGAATGTTGGACTGAAGAGCTTTTAGAATGACTGAATCACCAGTAGTAACCTAACAGAAAGAAAATAATGAAATTAGCTTTTCTCCATATGCTATAAAAATAACAACACCGGTTCTATGTTAAACATAATAAAAACACACGGGTTCTATGATTTCACAGATAAAGAATGCATGGATTCACTGAAATATAATAGTTATACCCAAAACCTTTACAAAATTAGTATTAGGAGACAGCCATATCTGTATCACAGTCTAAGACATGTCTATATTTTCATCTGAAAGTATGTTACTGAGGATATAAATATTTAGGCAGGGATATGCTGAACTCTTGACCACACACCTGGAACAAGACAGCACTCTAAGCAATCCATCTGACAGCTGTTTCCACTTCAAATCCCTGTAAACGACAATTTTTTTAGAACTTTATAGCGCATTAGCTACCGAGGACTACTCTCAAGAAGGGATCAGGAATTTGGAGGAATTCCTGAGAGGAAAGGCAGATGCCAATGGACTAAAGGAAGAAACAATGGCGATAGGCCCTCTAGAGAGAGTGGTTACAAAAACTAAGAAGAAGTTCTCAAAATAATCCCAAGGAGAGAGGAGCCTGAGGACCCGCAGAGCAGGAAGGGGCCTTGGAGTGAGCGTGAGGAAGGCTGCTGGGTTCCACGGGAGGAACAGCTAGACATTCTGGTCACCACTGTCAACAAAAAAGTGTGTCTCTGGGCAGTGAGGGCGGACGCTTAGACTTCTAAAAGGAAAGACGAGCGCCCCGGCTCAGAAGAGGCGCTGCTCAGGCAAAGCCCACCTGCTCAGGCAAAGCCCACCTCCCCACAGTGGCTGAAACCACATGCGGTATTCACAGATAGGCTAGCAGGGACTCTCAGACCCCTGTGACTCTACAACAATCCGTATTGCTGAGAAGATGCACTAGAATCAACAGCAGGAGGAGGAACCTGTGGCAATGGCAGCAAATACAGAGAAAGACTAAAAAAAGTCTATCTTTAGAAGTACAAGAGTACACTGGAGTCAGAGAAAGAAAACTATGGATCTAGGAAATTAAAAATGTAAACACTGAAATGAAGCACAGATGGTGTGTCAAACAGCAGAACAAACACAGCTAAGTGATCAATCAATTAGAAGATTGAGACATTTTCTGAGGATGCAGCACAAAAGAACAAATAGACACTGACACTGAGGATAAACCCCCAAACTTCCCAAATCCAGCTAACAGGAAGTCTAGAAAGTAGCGTAGAAAAAAATGGAAGAAAAAACTTCTCAAAGAAATAATGGAAAATCTCTGAGAGTTGAAGAAAGAGCCAGTGTGAATGGGAAAACAAAAACTATACCAGGTATGTAATAGTGACATTTCATGACAGTAAAAAAGATTAAAAACAAAATACTAAAAGCCTTCAATGATATCAGACATCTCACTGGAAACAACGGAGTAAAATCTCTGAAATACTGAGAGAAAATGAGAACATACGACGCATACCCAGGCAAACTAATTACACAGAAGGGCAAAATAAACACATTTTCTGACATGTAACAATGCAGAAAATATATCACTCCCAAATCCTATTTTAAAAAATTATTAGAAAAGTTATTGTTCCCCCCAATTATAATATAGCCAAAGTAAATAAACAGAACACCAAGGAGTAGAACCTGGGATAAAAGAGCAGGAGCAAGTTAAATAAAAACCAAACAAACTAGTTAAACTTAAGTTCCGATTGTTATAAATAAATAATGATAATTGAAAAGCAAAATCTAAGAAAGGTGGCAGGGAAGGGAGAAGAGTAAATCCTTTCTGAGGTTCCTGTCTTGTAAGATGTTGCTAGAAAAATATAAAGTAAATACCTGCATTAGAAATTTAAAGAGAATAATGAGAAGACTAAAAGGAGGATACTTAGCTTCCTAATTTTTAGAGGGAAAATAATGGAAGAAAACTTGATTAATCTAAACAAAAATAGAAAAAAAAAAAAAAAACCAGAAGGACACAGACAACACAAAATAAGATGTCAGAAGTAAGTTCAAATATATTAGAATTACAGTAAATAGGAATGGATTAACCTGTTTATTAAAAGGCAGAGATAGATTAATTTAAAAAATAAAAACCATTACCAAATACTTACTGTAATGTCAGGCACTGTATCAAGCACTGGGCATGGGTGCACAAAACAGACATCATCACTTTACAGTCTGAAGGGGAAGGCATTAAACAAGAAACGAGAGAATCTTCACATGAAGTCGACAAATGTTTGTGTGTAAATGTGTGTGTGCATATGTGTTAGATGATGGAAAAATAATGGAGACCAAACCAGACAAGGACATTATCCTCACAGAGTAGGGAGTCTGTGGATACAGAAACAAATATTGCTACAATGATGCTAATTTACGCAAATATTTAAGGAGCCTTTATTACCTGTTAGGTACGGGGGATATAATGGTTAGACAGTTTATTCATATGTACGGTAAGAGTTATAAAGCAAACACAGAGGACAGTGTAACTGTACAACTAGAATTCCCTGGAGAAATGATATTTGCAGTAAAATATGAAGGATGAGAAGCAGCTGGTAACCAGGGAAGGGAGAAGACCATTCCTGTCACAGGGAGCAACGTGTAGGTAGATGGGGAGTCTGCACAGGGGGATACACTTAACATGCTGTGAAGGATCAGAGAGAAAGTCAGTGTGTCTGGAGCACAGAGCACCCAGGGGAAATGATGGTGCAAGACAGCTGAGCAAGAAGTTGGGCTGGGGAAGCATCTAGATCTTCCCTGTCTCTTTCCACTGTAATGGGAAGCTATTAAAGAAACCTAAGCAAGGGAGTAAAATGATCAGATTTGTGTTCTCTGAGTTTGACACCAGCTGTAGGGGGGAGAAGGCAGGCCTCAGAAGACTCACTGGGGGACCACTGCCGAACTCTGAGGGAGCGGAGGCTTAAACCAGTGTGGGGACAGAGGTGGGAGAATAGTGAATGGGTACGAAAAACATGTAGGAAGTAGAATAAACAAATCCTAGTGACTGAACCGTGGGGTCAGGGGGCAGTTAGGAAAGTAGAAAAATATTTGGGAATGATTCACATATGAGCAACTGGGTCAATGGTTGAACCACTTATAATAGGAGAAACACCAGGAAATGGTCAACTGAGCTAAAAACTACGAACGGTCAAATAAAAATGAACTGAAAAAAGTCCATTAAGTTTAGCAGCATGGAGATCACTGATGATCTTAGTAATAAGTTTTGTAACAGTGTTAATAAGGAAAACAAGTTTTAAGAGACTCAGTGGTATAAGTGGTGTCCCGAAGTGGGCCAGGTGCCCCAAAGGAGCTGTACAAAGTGGTCCACTGGGATAGGGACAGAAAATATTACAACTTCTATTTATATTATTTTTTTGTCCAAAAAGTAAAGCAATTTATTATAATATTTAATATTTGGATCAATGGTGGCTTCCTCCCAGGCTACAGAAGCCATCCTGAGGGAAGAAAGTCCCACAAAGTGGAGGGGTTCACAGTGGCACGCTCATTCCTACTTCTGCTCCCATGATGCTACAAACTTCTGCAGTTCAAATGTGCCTGGTTCAGTGGATTTACAGATTATACTATGCGGTTTTAACTAATTTAACCCTCAACCTGGCTTAAAAAAGATTTCCAAGACCTGTAGGCACTGAGGCTAATACTTACAATGTAAGCACATGTGGAGTGTTACAAGAAGAAAATAGCAGGGCTAACCCATCTATTATTTTAGTATGAGCCCCTTCAACAGCCATATTTTAATGCCAAAAAAAAAAAAAAAATCACAATCTACTGAGATCTGACAAACAAAATGATCAAGAGTATTTAAAATAAGACATGTCTATGTTCTTGAAATGATATAGTGTTAATACGTTTTTTAAATTAAAAATGTTACTTATTTTCTAGCTCCTCTTTACATTGTTTTATAATGTATCGAGTACACTGACATACTAGTATATGTATATAATTTATAAACAAATAAATACACATTGAGAGGACATGCTCAGAAATGTTTTACTGACGGGGCACATGTTAGAATGAGGAGACCTGCAAGACAAGTACATGAGGAGTACAGATGCAGGGATGCGTACTGGGGATTCTCCCTGAAAGTTGCTGTGAAGAGGAAGTGAGAAATACAGGAATGCACGATCCAGGGATACTTGTGTGACGGCTTGTTTCTAAGAGCTACATGAGAGGTTCATAAACGTTAATCTGCTTGGGAAGAATGCAGGTTTCCAAGCTCCCCCCTCTCTTTCTGGCTCAGCCTGTCTGGGGTTTGTCCGGGAATCTGCGTGTCCAGGTTATTCTGATGCCAATGGTCCAAGCTTAGATGAAAACTGGCCTAAAGCAAGGTTTCAATGCCACTGAGAAGAATCTCCAAGAAAAGGGGCAGGTCAAGACTGCACAGCCCACCTGCGATCCCACGGTGAACAGAGGAGAGGAACACAGGTACAGAGGACGGGCTGGCCTTTAGTAGGTGCAGACACATTTACTCTACTAACAGATGACAGAAGAGATGGGGCAGACCTGAAGGTGGGAAACCCAGGGCATCCACAGTAGGAAGGAGTGTGCTTTTTACCAGAATTGACACAGAAACAAACAAACAAGCAAACAGGGATGTCTCCATTTTTACCTGAAAGAATTCCTATAAAGAGGAGACCCTTACGGTTGTTATTTATTTATTTATTTATTTATTTTTACACACAGATTTTCATTTACTGAGAGGGTAAGAACTCATCCAAAGAATTTTTATTTTCATTTTTCACTCTGGAAATTACCACCTTCACTGTGGTTTTTTTTTTTTTTTTTTTTTTTGCGGTACACGGGCCTCTCCCATTGCAGATCACAGGCTCCGGACGCGCAGGCTCAGCAGCCATGGCTCACGGGCCCAGCCGCTCCGCGGCATGTGGAATCCTCCTGGACCGGGGCGCGAACCTGTGTCCCCTGCGTCGGCAGGCGGACTCCCAACCATTGCGCCACCAGGGAAGCCCCCACTGTGGTTTTTAATGGCACTCAAACAATCTTGAAGAATAAAGTTTATT